TCCAGCTCTGACCCTCCCCCTCCTTCCCCATCGCTCTCCCGGTGTTTTCTTCCAGCTCTGAGCTTGGGACAGGGTCAGGACATCTGATTGCTCGTCACTGCCTGCGGCCAGCTGATCTGTTTCCTCTGTGGTGTCCAGAAAATACCTGGACTGAATGAATGAATGAATCTCCTGGGCCAGTGATGAGGCTGAGCAGAGCCCAGGGATGGCCTGGGGTCCACAGACAAGACTTCTGTTTCTCATCCCAGCCTCTTGGGGACACCCTGAAGAAAGCCTGGCTATGGTGGCAGAGGAGGCCTGGGGACCACACACGCCCTCTCATGCCCGCAGGGGTGCCAGAAGGACCCTAACTGGAAGCATTTTCAGGCATGCTCAAAGAGCAGCCATTCCCTCGCCATCCCCCCATCCGCTCACCAGTCTCCCACTCCAGGCCTGCCTGGCCCGGCGGGGGCTCTTTCTAAAGAAAAGTAGTGATGGAGCCACCCACATCTCCCTTGGGACCTGGCACACATCCCTGTACTGCATTCAGTGCCTCAGCCCCTGACCACAGAGCCTGCCCCTGTGCAGGTCCCTGCCCCCTAAGAAGCATCCAGGCTGTGCCCATAGGCTGACTCCAGCCCGTGCAGGCTTCGGTGAAGTTCCTGCAGCATCTGATGCTTTTTGAATTCAAGTCCAATATGGAAACAACCAGATATTCATAAAAGTATGAGCCACAGACCCTGGAAGCTCCCACCAGGCCCCCCATCCTGAACAGTCCCTGAAGGTTCTGCAGCCCCCCCTTCTCTCTCTGCAGAGCTCCCTCTTTCCCCTTTTGGGCTCATCTGCCCTGATCAGGGACCCCCTTGAAGGGGCTGAACTTAGGATGGCCGACCTGGTGAATGATCACCGCCCAACCAGCTCCGCGCTGCTGCCTGCTTGAACCTCACCCCTCAGAGACAAGGCTGGCAGAGATGGACAGGGGGCAGGGGTGGATGGAGGTGGCGCTGGGGGCTGGGATGCCCCCCCAGGACTCACACTCCCAGGAAATGGGAACAGGCAAAGGTTGGGGTGGTGGCTGAAGAGGAAGCCCCTCTTCCAGGAGCCTAAGGGCTGGGCCCGGGGGGCCACAAGTCTAGGTCCAGATGCAGGAGACCGGGAGAGCCTCCCAGGGGCCGAGGGCCCCACGCGCTGCCTGAGTAGGGATGGACTGGCTACTGGGCCCCTAGCCCCCCAGCTGTCCATCCACAGAAATCTCAGACCCATCCAGGGTCTGACAGATGGCTGCCCAGGAAGAGGCTAGACCCCGAGTCTCCCCTAAGTGTGGAGACAGTGGGATGGGGAATGAATCCACTCACTTACCCCTTCATTTATTCACTCACTCACTCATTCATTCATTCACATAGCCACCGAGCTCCTTCTCTGAGTCTGCTGCCAGGAATGCAGAAGCTAAGCTACGAAGCTGACTTTCTTGGAGCTAAATGTCTAGAACTCTAGGAACAACTCTCTTCCAACAAAGGGACCAGTAAGACTTCCATAGATAGACAAAAACATCAGGAAAAGATGCAATGACGCTGAGAAAAACAGGAACGGGGATGGGGAGACTTTGGGGCGGTCATGAGAGGCCTCCCGGAAGGGGGGGCATTCAAAAGGGGCCATGAGGCAGGCCCTGGAAGAGCCAGAAGGGGGCACCTGGGAGAGGGCAGAGCAAGGATCAAGGCTGAGGTGGGCAATGTTCGAGGAAGGGAAGGGAGACCTGTGTGGCAGGAGGGAAGGGGCAAAGGGAGGGGGCGAGCCAGAGGCTGGGAGGGGTCCCACCTGAAGGGGTGAGTACGTGAGGACTCAGCAGACTGGGAGTCATGGGGGGTTAAGCCCTCTAGGGTCCTGTGAATTGTAAGGGCAGAAGGGGGACAGGAAGTCCCAAGGGAGCTGGGGTGTGTATCTTGGAGGGCTTATTCCTGGGCTCTCTGGGACGCAGGGACTTAGAGAAGCTTCATTTCATTCTCTCTGTGTTTCTTGAATGCCTCCTATATACAAGGCATGGACCCAAAGCAGAGATATGGTGGTGGAGACACATAAAGTCCACAGAACTCGTGTTCTCAGCAGGTAAGATGAGATCCTGACTCAGTAAGTAAATACAACTGACCCTTGCAGATGGTCCTCAGAGGAAATAAGGTCAGCGAGGGGTGGAGAAGGGCTAAGCTTGGCAGCCCATGGTCCTCCCCATGGGCAGCCCACCCAGTCTCTGCTCTGGAGCACTAGGTGGGAGCCCGGGCGTGACAGGCAGACAGAGAAGAAGCATTGTCGTAAGCACAGAATCTCCACAAAGCAGCCTCCGACCTGGGAGACCCTGTCACACTCACCAGGGGACCTATTCCAGCCCCCAGTGTCCCCTCCCTTCTCATACTCAGGCTGGAAGGCTCCAGACTGACTCTTCCTTTCTGGCCACCCCCGTATCCAGTGGGACCCCAGGTCTGTCCATCCTTGTCCCTACATTCACTTTGTCCCCATCACTGCAGCCATTGCTTCACCATGGGCCCTGGTGGCCAAGGCGGGACTGAAGTACGGTAATCTGCTGTGTGGCCATGCTAGTTTGAAGAGTACCCCCCCCCAAACCTCCAGTCCACCTGGGGCCTCCGAACATGACCTTATTCGGAAACAGTGTCTTGGCTGGCATGGTGAAACTAACATGAGGTCATAGAGACGAGGGCGGGTCTTAACCCAACCACCGGGGTTCTTCTCAGAAGGTCACGTGAGACAGATACAGACGCTGGAGTGATGCAGCCATAAGCCAAGAGACACGTGGAGCCTCCAGGAAGCAGAGGAGACAAAAAGAAGGATCCTCCCCTACAGCCTCCAGCGGGGCATGAGGCCCTGCCGATACCCGGATCTCAGGCTCTGGCCTCCAGAACTGTGAGAGAAGACATTTCTGTGGTTTTCAGGGTGTGGCCATGTGACTGAAGCCCCTGGAAAGTCATATAGCGGTCACAGGCAAGGCGCCATCCCTCTTTGAGCCTCAGTTTCTTCAGCGGGGCAGTGGGAGGCCCTCCGAGGGCAGTGAGAAGGGCTAGGGATCCAATGCCCCTCATGGGCTACGTACACAGCAAGCACTCACTGGATGCTCCTTGTTGCTACTAGCCTGATCGGGATCTGAACCATTTCAAGTGCCTTCCTGAATCCTCTGGCTCCAGTCCAGCCTCTGCCAGGCCCCCCAGCGGCATATTTCCTGGCTAAAATCTCATTATGCTGTTTCTAATTCTGAGCGTGCAGTGGCTCCCCATGGCCCTCATGGTGTCGGTACAATTTGACCCTCAGCACAACTCCAGTTGGGCACCAGCAGAGACCTACTTGCCCGACTAGACCCAGCTCAAAGAGAAAGAACACCTCTTCCAGGATGCCTTCCCAGATTTCCCAGGGCACAACAAATCCCACCCTCCCCCCTGTGGTTCCTCGGCAATGGGCAGAAACCTGGCCACACACAGTCCATCCTCCATGCCCAGCGTAGTCCCAGAATCTGCCCACTTCTCTCAGTCTCTGCCTCTACCCAGTCCTGGCTCCCCAGCTGAGTCTACCCCATTGCTCCCGGGCTCCCCTCCGGCCTTCTGCCATTTCCTCTCCTGCCCCAACAGTCCCTGCTCTCCACAGTAGTCACAGAGGCTTTTGAAAATCATCAATTAGACCACATCTCTCCCTGCTCACACACCCTCCATGGCTTCCCACTGCTCTGCAGTCTATTCCTTTTTTTTTTTTTTTTTTTTAATGTTTTTATTTATTTCTGAGAGAGACAGCATGAGCACGGAGGGTCAGAGAGGGTGACACAGAATCTGAAACAGGCTTCAGCCTCTGAGCTAGCTGTCAGCACAGAGCCCGACGTGGGGCTCGAACACACAAACTGCGAGATCATGACCTGAGCCGAAGTCGAAGGTCAACCGACTGAGCCACCCAGGCGCCCCTCTGCAGTCTAGTCCTTTACCTCAGCCCCTCTGTCTTCATCTGCCTCCTCTCTCCCCCTTGCTCATTCTGTTCCAGTCAAAGTAGCCTCCTCACTGTTCCTCAAACACGCCAACCTCATTTCTGCCTCAGGACCCTTGCACGTGCTATTTCCCCTGCTGCTTGCTATGCTGTTCTCCCCACTGTCACCTGGCTGGCTCCTCCTCCTCCAGGTGTCAGCTCATGGTCACCTCCTTGGAGGGGCCCTTCTGCCCACCCCCAGGAGCCTCCCTCTCCCCGGGTCATTCTCTAATACATCAAGGTGAGGGGCCCCTGGAGGGTTCAGTCAGTTGAGCGTCAAGCTCGATTTTGGCTCGGGTCACGATCCCATAGTTTGTGAGATCAAGTCCTGCCTTGGGCTCTGAGCTGACAGTGTGGAGCCTCCTTGGGGTTCTCTCTCTCCCTCCCTCTCTGCCCTTCCCGCGCTCGTTCATTTTCTCTCTCTCCCTCTCTCAAAATAAATAAATAAACTTAAAAAAAAAATAATGCACCACTGTTTTCTTTCCCTGCCAGTATGTCTCAAGGGCTGATCTGGGCCTGCCTCGGTCCCTGCCGTGTCCCCAGCACCCAGCCCAGGACACACAGTACACCTGCTCGGTGTTTGTGGACTGACTAAATGGCCATACACAGTTAGAACTGTTGCCTCCGTTCTCTCCACACCCCACCCCCATGGGCAGCTCCTTGCTGACCCTGAAATGTCAGCCAATGTTTGCAGGGCAAAGAAGGAATAAAGGAGCTACTCTCCCTAAAAGCTGGCTCAGGGGCTGAGACCACGGAATCTGAGTGGTGGAGGCTATAGGGGCCGGGGACCTGCCCACTCCTCCCTTCCGGCTGTGCGACATGGAGCGGGTTCCCCACCACCGGTGACTGGAGAAAATGGACAGTGACTCTAGAAAGCACAGCTGTTATTGTTGTCATTATATTGTTAGCATGATGTCAAAGGTTGGCACTTTTTTCTTAAGTCACCAGATTTTCCATGTAGCTCCGGGGCCACTCTTACCTCCCAAACACGACTCAAGCCTGGATTCACTCACCCTGGTGTGCAGGGGTCTCTCTGAAGCGCTGCCACCACAGGGCCTGTCCCCTTCAGTCTTGATGGATTACTGCCTGGCTGGTAGGGGGCTGGGCTGACTTTTGTCTCCCCTTGACCTGTAAGGACCAGACATGGGTATGGGGTAGAGAAGGCAAGGCCCCAGGAGGGCAGGGTGCAATGATCTTGAGAGTCGATCTGTCTTCTAACTAGCTGAATTATCTCGTAAGCTTGAAGGAAGCTTAAGATCAGCTGTGCTGTCTGGTCCCCTGGGGCCTTGTTTCCCCGCTCAGGCTCCTCGATGAACCCTCTGCTGATGTCTCCATCCCATTCCGGGCCCCCTCCCTGGAAGCCCACTTCCTTCCGCTAGACACTGCACACTAAAGGCTCTATCTGCCTTTCCCCATGCTGTTCCCTGTCTTGCTCCTACATCCCCCCCAGTTCCTTTCCCACAGGCAGATCTAGGTGGATGAGTCTGGGACAGGCTGGTATAAGGATGAAGGAGTTAAAGATCCCTGACTCAGCCCGCCGCATTCTTGGCCACCCCCTGGCCCTCACCCTGTCTGTAGCTGCCCAGGGGTCTGTAACTCCCTCAAGGAATTCACTCTGTACTGGGCTGTTGCTAAAGCCCTATGGTACCCATGGTGCCCAGGTCCCACTCCGGAGCAAGGGGCTAAAGGAGATGCAGAGCACCCCAATGGCGGGGAGGAGGGAGGGAGCACGTCCCCAGAATGGAACTGAAGGGGAAACACAGTATGAGGTGGACATTCCTCTGCCCTTCCTCTTGCTGGGGATCTGGAGTGGGGCCACTGGACACCTCAGGGGCTGCCTGTTCTGGCCGGGGGTGGGGTGGATCTGACTCTGGCTCTGGGAGAACAGGGAGATTGTCCAAGGTCACCCAGTGGGTCGGTGTGCTCTAGAAGTACCCCTTGCCCTCTCTCCCCATCTCCCCTTCAGCAGCCAGACTTCCTTTGAGGTCTAAGGCAGCTTGAGGAGACTGGCGAAGAGGGACTAGGAGGGACAAGAGACCTGGGAAGGAGCCAGGGAGGGGGCTTAGCCACTCAGTCCTGTCTGAGGCCTCCAGCAGTGTGGAGGGACTTGGAAAGCCGGTGGAACTCCCCCTAACCAGTTCCAGACAAGGCCCTCAAGCCCCACCCTGACAGTTAAACGCAGGAAGCAGAGGACCCGGGAGCGGACACCACCAGCTGAGTTCTGGGGTTCGTGAGTTGGCCACAAACACAGGTCTGTCTCTGCCCAGCTGGGTGACCTTGGGTAAGTGCTAACCCTCTCTGGGCCTCGGCCCCTTTCCCAGTCAATGAGGTAGGGGTGGGGGGGTGGAGCTTAGGGAAGAGAGCAGAGGAGGAGCTCTCAAGCACAGTAGGTAGGCCGGCAGGTGGGGAGGGTTCCCTTCCACTCTGCAGTGGGCCATGGGGGAATCCCCACCACACTCAGTGAGAGGTGCAAGGACTGAGGGGGTTAGGAAGGGGAAGGAAGCAATGGAGCAATGGAGCTCCCCCCCCCGCTACTCACCCCCCTCCCGCAAGCGCCGGAGGGTCCCCTTGTCTCCACCTTCACCTCTGTGGGAGGACATCCCCGCATTCCAAAATCCGGGAGCGGAATCCCCCTCCTCACAGGGGTATGCGGGGGGGGGGGGGAGAGGGGAGGGGGCGTCTGGAATGACTCTGGGCTTGGAGTTGTGGGGGGGGAATGGAAGGGGTTTCCCTCCCTCCCGCATCTCCCCCCTTTGAATTCCCGGAGTCGGGGCAAACCCTGGCCGAAACGCCCACCACGGAAAAGGGGAGCCGCTGGGACCTCCGCCCTGTAAGCCCCCACCCCCACCCCAAAGCCCCACTACTGCCTACTCACCGGCCAGAGACGGCCGCCGCCGCCGCCGGAGCCCCAGCGCCTGGCCCGAGCGCGAAGACAAGTGCACGGCCGGGCAAGGGCGTGTGAGCCGGGAGGGTGTGCGCGCGCCGCCGCAGAGCTGACCCCCTCCCCGCCGACCTGGGCCCCGCCCCGCCTCCCCGGGAGGGGCGCCTACCCGGTGGAGCGAGACCGGCAGACTGCGGCGGCCACAGTGCGACCCCCCTCTCCCCACGATGCTTTTCCAGAAAGGGTGGGGAGGGAATCCCCCTCCCCGCAGGAGTGTACCAGCCAATCTCTAAGAACGCTCCAAGAGCTGGGAGGACCCTCTGCCGCCGCTGGCCCACGACGTTCATTTTACAGATGGGGAAACTGAGACCCAGAGATGGGGAGCCCCTGGCCAGGGCCCAGCGCCCCAGCAGCATAGAAACGCGGCTGCCCGCCTCTCTTTGGGGGTCTCTCCCCACGGCGTCCGGGTTAGGAATGGAGCCTTGGAGAGAAAGGAAGGCAATAAAGCCCCCCACCTTGAGCGGGCTCTGGGGCCTGGGAGGTCCAGGGGGAACCCGGAGGCTTCAGGCAGCTGGTGACGTTGCTGGGGCTGGAAGGTCCCAGTGAGGGAGGGGTACCTCGGGTGGTCAGGAAACAAATCACAGAAAACTTCTCTAATGTCATTGTTGGGCTCTGACGTCCCTCTTCTCACTGCACGATTCGGGGACCCCGCCGAACGTGAACAGCAGGGGCCTGGGCCACGAGATTGTGAAGGTCACTCTGCCAAATTAGAAGAATGCAGCTCCCGGGGTTTGGGTCACTAGGGGGTGGCAGAGGGGACGCTGCGCGGGGCTCAGCCCCTCCTGTGACCTTGGCCCTGTTCTGGCCCCTCTCTGAGCCTCTTTCTTGCGACTGGACAACATTCACTTCTGGGGTCCCTCCAGCTCTCCGAGGTCTTTGGGGCTGCCGCTGCATTTTGCTGTTCTCCCGTTCCCTCCCGCCCTCAGGAGGAGTGGTGCCCTCCCGGACCACCGTGTTCCTTCTCTCGGTCTCCTGCCCCTTCCCCCCCCCCCCCCCCCGCAACCCCACCCACCCAGTCTTTGAACCCCCACCCACCTTCTGCCTTGGCCTGGGATGAGAGGGGTTTCCTCTTGGGAGCCAGGAGGCTTCCACGAACCTCCATCCTTTCTCTTTTTGGTTGTTTTTTTATCCCCCCTCTTTTCTTCCATTCATTCTAAAAATAGCCCTCCCCTCTCCAACTCTCCTCCCCTCCCCGCCCCACCCCCCGCCGCCGCCGCCGGGAGCCTCCCTTGGAAAGGTAATGCGCTTCCCGGGTGGGGTCCCCGAGGCCGGGATTCCGCGGCGCGCGGGCGGGGCTGGAGGACTCAGACCGCGGGGGATGGAGTGGGGGGCGACTGAGAGCGCATTCCCCTCCCTCCCATTGTGTGTGAGATGCTCTCAGACAGAGCCGCCAGCGAGACCGTGACCGTGTGTGGAGGGAAAGAGAACAAAGGGGCGGGGGACCTCTGGGGGATTCACTGTGGAGGAAGATTGAGGGAGGGCTGAGGGCACCGCAGGGACTCCACCGACGAGGGGGGTCCCACCCATTACCTCTGTGGGGATGACTCTCGGCCAGTGGGGGGGAGGCTGAGGTCTGCACGGTGATCGGACACAGGGAGGGAGAGTCAAGACTCAGCTGTGACAGGGTGGCTTCTTGGGGGGAGGGGCAGCCCCCCCCCTTGAACCTGGACATCTACCCTGTGGAGCCCCCAGAAGGCCCCTCCCAGTCCCACCGCTTCCTGTCTTGTCCCCATGGTCTCTCCAGTTCCGTCTCCGCGGTGCAGCTACAGAATTCCATCCTCAGCTACGTGACTGATCACGTCCCTGTCCTCAGAAGGGGCACCCTCCTCCTTGAACTCTCCACCTCCTCCAAGTCCTGAGTGCTCTGGCTCCCACTCCCTTTTGTCCCAGCACAAGGGCTGTCCCCCGAGGCTAGCCACCACACTCTTGCCACACTCAACCTCAGTGTTAATGTGTCCGGCCTCCGGGGCTTTGCATCTGCTGTTCTTTCCGCCAGGATCCCCCTTCCCTCACCCCCTATTGTCTCTCAGAGCCTGGTTCAAAGTCACCTCCTGCTCAGGGAACATCCCTCTAGCTTACGGTGTACGGTCTTCAATTCCTGGTGTGCTCTCCGCTACTCGTTCACCGTCTGCCTCCCCCAGGGAATGTGGGGTCCTGGGCAACTTGGGCATGGCTGATGGGAGGTGGGGCCCACTCTGACCCAGCAAGGCCCCAGGAGCTAGCTACCCAGCTCCGAAGAGAGAGATGGCACCACTGCCCGGCTAGCCACCCTGGAAAGCACGCCAGGGCATGGCACAAAAGACCCAGCGTCTGCTTCTGCAGGGGCGTCATTTTGCACAGTGAAACTAACAACCACGGTCCCCCAAATGTTCCACACACACCCCCGCCCCCAGGGACGGCTTAGCCCGTTGCCGGAATAACATGCTGCTAGGAAAAATGGTCCGCAGGGACCGAGCTCCAGGCCTGTTGAGAAGCCAGCTCGGAGGTGTGTCTGCTCAGAAGGCAAGTAAGTATGAAGAGCAAAGATGAGAACTGAGGGGAGGAGGAGGCAGTGGGGGCAGCCCTGGGCTGTGCGCCCTGGGGAGGGGGTGGCCTTTCCTTTGTTACTAGCTTTTCATAATGTTTTATTATCTTACACGTTTTGAAACCAAAGGGAAGGATAAAGGGAAAGCCTTTGTTGGAGGATATAGAAGCTCAGAGAGGGTATGTGCTCCCCACGGGACAGAAAATGCAGCTGTCAGTGCTGAGAAATCAACACCCCCCTCCATACTTGTCTCCATAAATTTGCCCTGAAATGTTTGAGCAACTGCTATACATTTCTATGCCCAGAGACTGAGGGTTGAATTCGGAGGGTGGGGGATTCCTGGGGCCCCTGAGAGGACAGAGCCTTGTGGGTTCTGGGAAAAGGGGACGGGCTGGGATAAGCAGGACCGTGCGGTGTCAGCAGGGCCAGGCCCACAGCCAAGGACTGGAGGGAGGGGAGGGGGCGCTTGTGGGGGCGGAGGGAGAAAGCCTCGGAAGATGGGTGAGTGCCCTGTCTTCCTCGGGCCGGTGTTCAAGGCCAGAAGGGTGGGAGCTGGCAGGGGAAGTGGGGGGACGTGGCATGCAGGACCAGGGGGAACCAGGGAGGCAAGAGACAAAGGCATCATCCGAGAGGTTTCAGAAAGTCTCAAAGGGCAGGCGGGGATGTGGGGAGGGGAGTGAGGGGGGCGCCCGACCAAGGTTAGGGCTGCCACGTAAAATACAGGACACTGAATGGGACATACTTATAAGAATAAAAATTATTCGTTGTTTATCTGAGAGTCAAGTTTAACGGGGCGACCTGTAGTTTCCTTTTCTAAATCTGGAAACTCTAAGCCCAGATCTGGCCAAGCAAACCTGGGGTTTGTTGAGGGGAGGGAGGGCCCCTTTAGGTGTCCGTTCCCTCCCCTCCCATCACGCTGTCCCCGCACATGTTCCCTTCCTAGGCTTTTCTTTGTCCCCCACACGTTGTCCACGTCCCCTAACTGCTCCTCAAGTTTCCCCCTCCCCTCCTCTCCCTTCCTTTGTTGTCCCCCTTCTCCCACGCGCTCCCTCATTTCCCGGTCCCCCGACTCCTCCTACTCCTGCACCCCTCTCCCCATCTTCCCCAGCCCTTCGCGTTTCCCTCACTTTCCGGGTACCCACCCTTCCTCCTCGTCCCTCCACCATCCTCCCCTCCTCCACAGCCCCTCTCTCCGCGCTAGCCTCCTCCCCGGGCACCCACCGTCCCCCCTCCTCTGCGAACCCTCCCCCGTCAATTCCCCGGGGCGCGCAAGGGGGAACACCGGCCACCGGCGTCGTGCTCCACGCAGGCGCAGAGCCGCCCGGCTTCCCTGAGGCCGCCGCACCCCTCCCTGCGGCCCGCGCGCCGGGTTGCCAAGGCGACGGCGAGGGCCGGAGCGGGAACCTCCGGAAGACCCCACTCTCTCTCCCTCCCCCGCCATCTCTTCAGCAAACCCCGCTCTGGTTTGAGCCGGTTTCCCCACCCCTCCCCCTGTGCGCACTGCGGCGGGTGAGGATTCCCTTGCCCACAGGGTTGGGGGGGGGGGTCGGTCGGGGATCGACGCATGCGCGCAGGGCGAGGCTTTCCCTCCCGGACTAGCGCTCGACGGGAAAGCCCTAGCGCGTGAAGCAGGCACCCCCGCGCAGGCGCAGTGAGCGCCAGGCGTCCCCACAGCCCCGCCCGGTCGTCCCGGCAACGCGCGCGGGGAGGGCTGGGAGAGCACGGAACTCCCGTCTCACGCCCCCTCCCGCGCACTGCAGCCGAGCCGGGGATTCCCTGCTGCCCGCGCGCAAGCGCGGGCCTGGGATTCCGCGGGGGCGGGGCCGGAGAAAGAAGGGGCTTTTCCGTGCTAGGGAACAAAGGTTATTACCATATTCCCTTTGTCAGAGGATCGAAGCGGTCCTCTCAGCTCCCGTCCTGAATTTTATTTCCTCGCTGGTCCACCGGGCCATCCCTCCGCAGGTCCCCAGGAGAGCTTGCCACACGCGGTTCGGATACCCTTCCTACCTTGTTCACACACCCGCCGCGGCTCCCCACCTTCCCGTGGTGAAGCTCTGTTCTTCAGCCCAGCGTCCGAGGGCCTGAATGCCCCTCTGATATCTACCTTCTGGTTCTTCACCGTTGGTCGCTAACCCTCCCTAAGTCCCGGCCACAAAGACCTCAGCGTGTCCACGCAGAGGGCTCCCTTGCCAAGCCTTTCTGCAGCATCTGCCCTTCCCTGGCACAATCTCGTTGATTCTCGAGGTAGCCTGGGGTTAGATGCTGTTTCAGTCCCATTTTATATGGTAATTGAGGCTTAGACCCATTTAGGCCCTGGCCTACGACCGACCGCAGAGGTAGAAGGCAGATCCCTCTGTGAGGACACATCTGGGCTCCTCCACCTTCCTGGCCTTCAACCCTGATTCTGGGCCCCACTGCTGCCCCTGCTGGTGCTTTCTGGATATGTGTCAGGCTGGTGACAGTTTTCCCATCTGCAAAGGGGGCTGCCCCCAGGCTTCAGTGAAGTACTATCACGGGCTAGGCCAGGGCCCAGCATCTAGGGTATGCTTCTCACAGCTGGCCTAGTTTGGTGGTGGGTCCTCTCCCCACCCGCCGTCCCCCCTCCTTTCTTCCTGGTGGGGATTTTTCTTTCTGTCTCACTTCCCCAACTCCCACGGGGTCTTCTGGGAGTACTTCCTGGATTCCTCACATGTCTTCTATCGGTTGTTTTAGAGTTGGCGCCAGGACCCCCAAACTAAGCCATCGTTCAATACATGTTAGTTAGTTTTATGCCAACCAGCTTTGCTTCAGGCATCTTCCATTCTGCATTTTTTTAAAAAAATTTTAATGTTCATTTTTGAGAGAGCGCGCGAGTAGGGGAGTGGCAGAGAGAGAGGGAGACACAGAATCCAAGACAGGTTCCAGACTCTAAGCTGTCAGCACAGAGCTGGACGCGGGGCTTGAACTCACAAACCATGAGATCATGACCTGAGCTGAAGTCCGACGCTCAGCAGACTGAGCCACCCAGGCGCCCCGCATTCTGCATTTTAGCTGTACCCAACTGTTAATGGCACCCCTCCTTTGAACAGGGAAGTTGTGACCTCCAGGCCTTTACTCATGAGGTTCTTTCAGCGTTTTCTGTCCCTGTCTGTGTACAGAATTCCTATGCATCCTTCAAGACCTTCCCTCCATGAAACCGTCACTGCTCCCTCTGGCCCAACCCTGATGCCACACAATTGGGGGGAATGGGGACCAGAGGCCACAGGGCAGCCTTGTGGAGGGTGGCACTTGGATGAGAGACACAGCAGTGACCTGCTGGGATTCTCCCCCACACCTGTGGACTCACCTGGCTGCTGCCCTCCCTTTCTGCCACTGTCCAAGGCCAGCTAAGCCCTAGGAAGCCAGACCCAGGAACAGATCTCACCTGGCCCTTCCCAGACACACAGCCTCTGACGGAACACTTATTTCCACCCAGATCCACCTGCCCGTTCCAGCCTCCAGGCCCTTGGCTGCCCATGCGATGGAATTTGACTCATCTCCCACTCAGGCCCGCTCTGAAGAAATCCTGCACTGGGCAGCCTGCCCATGA